TTAAAAAAAAAAGCAAAAAAGAAGAACTGTACAAGATTGTAAGTTTCAAGAGATCCTCATCTTTCGTTATCCAGAACTGTATACTGTGCACAAGATTGTAAGTTTCAAGAGATCCTTATCTTTGGTTATCCAGATACACAACAAACAGCTTAAAACGTCCACGAATTAGTATCATTTGTGCATAACAATCCATATTCCAATTTCATATGACAGTATAAACACACACCCCAAGTTTCACCTCAAGGAGAAAACTTGCAAGTATAAGCCAATCTGAGTGTGAACTGTGAGACAACTATGAACAATTTGACGAAAACAAATGCGTACTTGGATAAATTGCACGGTTTTGGATGGCCCTGCATCATATAACTACAGAGTGCATCAAAGTAATGTGCTGTGTATGATCATCAAAATCCACATCTTTTTTCATTTTTCTTTTCTTTGGTGTCAATTGTTGCCGCCAATAGGATTGCCACTCCTCATCATTGCTACAAACTCATCATAATTTATCTTTCCGTCCTGCCAATTAATACAACAACACATTATAGCAAAAACAAAGCGCTATATATGGTACTCTCCGAAACATTAACTATCATGGACAATCTTGTCTTAATAAAGGATCTCTTTTTCCAGTTTCCTTGTTTAATATTTAAAACAAAAGAAAAGAAGATAGGCGACATATTAATATTAAATTAATTTCATCTTCAATAAAAAGAAAGAGTCGATACAAAATCATCGATAGTTGAAAAGGTGAAAACTCTAACAGCATTCATTTGGCCACAGAAACAAGAGAATTGTAACAACCATGTGACAATTTATAAAGATGAATCAATGAAATTTTATAACTTCAAAACAAATACTAATCTTAAAATTAAAGAGGCAGTACATGATCAGTGTCTACTTCAGTAAGGATCGCCTGTAATGTTTTGGCATCACCCATGTTGTATTCCTTTAACGCATGCTCCAATTCTTCTATGGTGATGTACCTAAATCAAAGGCAAAAATCAGATATTCAAAAAGACTCCAAATAGTTTTCCTGAAACATGTACAAAATGAAATTTTACCCGCTCCAGTCCCTGTCAAAATATTTAAATGCTTTATATAGACGGTCTTCCCTTTCCATTCGGTTCAGGTGCATTGTTGCCGTTATAAATTCAATGTAATCAATTGTTCCATTTCCATCCACATCAGCCTGATATAGGGAGTCAATGACAATCTCAAGTCACAGTAAAAGTAAAATCTATAATTTAACCATGATAATCAATTGTATATTCTAAAAGCATATTGTAGGATTATGCAAATTTGAATAAAAGGTGCATACAAAACTAAAATATTCTCCTTGTGCATATTTAATCTTTAGCTTCAACTTGCAAATTTAACATAAAGAAAATAGTAGATGTTACCGCTTCCATTAGCTGCTTAACTTCTGATTCCGAGAGTCTCGTGCCCAGCTTTAGAAGACCAGCTTTCAATTCCTCAAAAGTGATAGTCCCACTGTTATCTGTGTCAATGGACTTAAACATTTCCTTCAAGCCTATGATTTCTTCTTCAGATAGGTTTTCCGCAATCACCTGGCAACAAAATAAAAAATTCCACATTGCATCAGAAGCAGAAAACTCGAATTCAGGCATTACAATTTTGAGTATCTGACCTTTAGAGCGACTTTCTTGAGCTTGTTCATTTCTTGAAATTTTTTCATTCTAGTCAAGACAGCAATGTCAAGAGGCTCATCAGATGCATCCCCATCTTCTCTCATCCAAGGATGGTCTGCATGTAGGTTCCGCTTTGTTGTTTTATACGCTGATGACTACTTAATCATGTTTGTAATGAGATGACAATTAAGGAACAACGAATAAATGAATGAATAAGTAGGATAGTTTTACCAGTGAAAATGATTATACTGGGATATTACTTAAAATTCATGTTAGGGACAACTACAACTAGCCATAACGTTTCAGGTACTTGAAAGGAATTCCAAGAGAAGTTTCAAGAAATAACAAAAACTGAAAAACCCCTTGAAATCTTTTTTTTTTTCCTGCACAATCCCCCTTCAAAGAATCATCAGCAAGAAACATTTGAGCCTCCCCCAACCTCAAGCAATACATTTAATAAGACTGGCACAGTTACCTTCATATTACAGATACCCTTGGTGCTAAGACTTGAGACATAATCGGAAGATCAATTTTTATTCTTTTATTATTTTTAACTTTTAATTCTGGAAACTTCTCTAGGTATCTTTGAAACCACCTCAAGCCTCAAATGGTTTCTGCAATTATTAATTCATGTTATTGTCTGAGATAAAAATGACTCCAAAAAATAAGCACGGTCTGAAGGCTCTAACTTAACGGCAAACACAATATCTATACATTGTATGTTCATATATGTTTCCATTTCCTGCAAAAGAATCTTGTGGACATTCTGATGTAATGATGCATGGAAGCTTACTCAAGACTTCAACTGCAGTAAGCCGATGCTTAGGGTCAGACTGTAGCATATTCTTCAGAAGATCTTTGGCACTATTTGATATTGAAGGCCATGGATCCGAATCAAAATTGAGATGTCCACGCATAACAGCATCAAATATAACCTGATTACTCTCTAGCGAAAGAACAAAAAAA